AAATGGGACCCAAGAATATGGTTTAATAAATCATATACTCTTTGTTTTAATGCTTTATTTAATTTTGGAGTAGATAATGCATTTGTGTAATTTGAACATCAAAAAACATAACAAGCAGGGGAAAGTCTCCTTCCCATATTTGTCCCCATCTCCCTAGTTTCCATCACTCCTCTAGTGGTTAACCACTATTATTAATTGTCTGTTTATCCGCCCAGAGATGTTTTATGCATATATTAGCTAAAACAAACATGTACTCTTTCTTACATCTGTGGAGAGGGTTTTATTTTTTTTAACACTAAAGGTAGCGTGCTAAAACATACTTTTCTACTTTTTTTTTTTACTTTGTAATATATCTTCAATATTTTTCAATATAGACCTTCTAGAAAGACCTTGTATATTTTACCGAAGCATAGTATTTCATTGAATGTGCAAACCATCATTTAACTAGTTCCTTATTGATGGACATTTAGGTCGTTCCCCATCTTTGCCTATCATATACAATGTTGAAGTGAATGACCTGTATGAATACCATTTTGCATATGAGCAAACATATTATCTACAGGATACATTCCTAGAAATAGAACTACTGGATCGAAAGGAGTCTACATTTGTGATTTTGTTAAATATGGTTAAATGACTTTCTCTCTGGATTGTGCCAATTTGTACTTTATTGTATAAACATGTTTAAGAAACTTGAGTCATGAATGATGCTCATTTATCTGGACAAGAATGAATTAGACTGCTTAGAATCTATAGCTCAATTTCTGATGGGCATATGGAGAAAGAAATGCATTTGAGAGCTGCAAATGCTATTCCTATTCAACTCCTTCTTTTACTTTCAAACACTGAAGCCCAATGAGGAGAGTGACTTGCACAAGTTTACACAGCTGATTAAGTACAGGTCTAGGCCTTACGACTTATAGTCAGATCTCAGGACTTACACTCTAGTCTTCTTTCTACAACAGAGAAGAGGTGACAACTGTCTGTCATTCCTGCTCATGTGCTGAAGATCTCTTGGATACTGCTGCTGCTGTTTATGCTGCTGTTGTTGATGGTGATAGCCACCATTTCTTGATCCTTCCCACAGACCAGACCTTGAATTTAGTACTTCTATTTACATTATCTTATTCATGCCAAGGGATTCAAAATCCATGTGCAAAGTAAAGCATCATCTGTGGGTGTTTCATGCATATATCTTATACATATGCCCACTGTGAAGATGCTATTATGCTTAATAAAATGTAAATTAGTACAAAGCATCATGAAAATTATAATAGTCTTTTGTCTCTAACATGTTCTCAATCAATGGATTTTGAAATTACTATTGTGAGAGATTATGCTATTTTTGATATTAAAAACAAATCCTTATGTTCAAGAACTTGTGAGCCACTTAACCATATTTAAGTCCCCTTTAACTGCCCAGATATCATTCTGTCTCCATCCATCTCCATTACTTTTTTTTTTTTTTTTTTTGAGACAGAGTCTTGCTTTGTTGCCCAGGCTAGGGTGAGTGCCGTGGCATCAGCCTAGCTCACAGCAACCTCAAACTCCTGGGCTCAAGCAATCCTTCTGCCTCAGCCTCCCGAGGCAGAGGTTGGGACTACAGGCATGCGCTACTGTGCCCGGCTAATTTTTTCCTATATATATTAGTTGGCCAATTAATTTCTTTCTATTATAGTAGAGATGGGGTCTCACTCTTGCTCAGGTTGGTTTCAAACTCCTGACCTCGAGCAATCTGCCGGCCTCGGCCTCCCAGAGTGCTAGGATTACAGGCGTGAGCCACGGCGCCTGGCCCATCCATCTCCATTAATGATGCCACACAGCACAAAAGAGACCACAGAGATCATCTAAGCAGCTGATTTGTTTTACAGACAAGGAAACTAAGGCAGGGACAAATGAAATGATAACTTTACTGGAGGCACTCAGTGACTCAGGGCTAGAGCTGGAATTAGAAGGCAGGCCTCCTGACTGAATTTTATAACAGAAAAAGAAGAACCTGGTGTGGGAGTAGCTCCTCATAAGTACGATGCACAATTAAAATAATGAAGGAGATTTCCTTTTGAGCCTCATATTGATTCACCTCCAGCTTTGTGGATCTGAGAGGTCATCATGTTGGTCGATAATAACACTTGATCTTGGATGCTATAAATTTAATATAGAGCATAAAATACAGAGATCAATATTTTGATGTTGAGGAAGCTCATTTATTGGCTGTTTATCCTCAGACCTTTAAATGAAGCGGAGGACTGAAGAAATGTAAGAGATAATTTTTCACAAATTTCATTAAAGTTATGTAGACGATAATGGCTAAAGGAAAGCAAAGGAAAAGTTTATTATGTCAATATTTCCTGCACTAACATCCTCTTCTCCCTCTCTTTCTCTCTCTCCTGTCTCTCTGTCTTTTCCTTCTTCTCTCCCTCCCTCCCTCTCTCTCCTTCCTCCCATAAATATCTCTAAGTCCTCTCTTTACTTTGTTCCAGTAGACACATTCTTTATGACCTCAGATAAGAGGTACTTATTCTTGATCTCTAGCCACAAAATAGGAGAACCATGGCTATGTCCTGTTGTTCTTTCACATATTAAGTGTTTGATGTACAGAAGCAGTGGGGAAGGGAGGGAAAGCATAGACTTTGCCTTCAACAATGGGAATGAGGGGACTAAAATCGCCTTGGAACAACAGTGCCCAAAGGTTAATTTGTGGAAACTTAGTCCCGTGAGGTACTTGGCAAAACACAGGTTTCCATAGTCAAATGCATCTAGGAAACAGAGCATTTTGTATTCTCGTCCTGGAGACTGGCAAGTTCCTATGGCATGCTAAATGCCCAGGGAAGACCTGCACTAAAGTAACTAACTGGTTTGATGTCATTTCACCTGTTATTACCAAATTTAACTGATTTTTAAACCCATATCTTACTGAACCCATTTAGGCAAATGCCGCCTTACAGAATCCTGTGTTGTTCCTGTTCCACTTCTCTCCCATCTGTATTCATTAGAAAATTTAGAATGTCATAGTTGGGTTAAAATAACAAGTAGCAACAAAGGAAGATAAAGAAAAGCTAAGCACAACCTCCCTTCTTCATGTATTCTAGCATTCACATAGAAACAGAAAATAAAGTAAAATATCCATATAAAACTTTGCCATATAGGGTATAGGACTTGTGTTTTTTGAATATATACAACTTTTATTTGTTACTTTTATTACAAAAATTTGTATCACTGTATGCTTTTTTTAAAGTACTCTTAATCTCCCTTTATCCCTCATTTCTATATTGTACTGGTTATCACTTTGAAGCCAGGTTTATCCGTGAAATAACATCTGGATGACCTCACTAGTGAAGTTTTCTGCCTATGTTGATCACCTGATGTCTTCTTTACTATTTCCTGATGAGGGTTTAAATACTGTTTCAGAATTAGTTGTTGAAACCAATGCTTTGGGGCTTTTCTCAAACATCAAATAGTATCAACATTTTAGCAGGCAAGCAACAAAGATTTTTCCTTTCATAATTTATTTGCTAAAATAAATCACTAAAATTGCATATGAAATTTGTTATTCAAATTTCATATGCAATTTTAAACTGCCATGTTCTCATATTCTTATTTTTGTAATGTGCTTTCATTCTTTTTGTTGAAGTTGAGTGGTACTGATTAGTCAATGTAAATAATTTCATTTCATTATAATATTCCAATAACTTTAGACTGAATTTGTCTTTTTGATTAAAATTGATTAGTTCTTATGACTTACATCAATGAAATGGAGTAATCCAATTCACAGATAAGACTGGGAAGCCGGAGTTACAAGGCATGTTCAAGTAAATTGGATTAAAATATGGGTTCTTTCTTTTAACCTTTCTTGACTTTAATATGAGGACAGTCCTATTTCATTATATTCCTAAATTTAAAAGTTTATGTGTGTGTAGAGATTAAAAGAATAGCACAGATGGTTTTTTTTGATAAAATGATTTTATTCCTTTGGGTAATCAAAAAGACACCAGCACTCAAATGTTTATTGTAGCATAATTCACAATTCCATAGATGTGGAATCAACCCAAGTGCCCATCAATTCATGAGTGGATTAATAAAATGTGTTATATGTATATCAAGGAGTACTACTCAGCCATGAAAAATGAATTAGTGAATTATTTTTGTAACAATCTGGAGATCATTCTCCTAAGTGAAATATCTAAAGAAAAGAAAACAAACACTGCATGTACTCACTATTAAATTGGAACTAATGGATCAGCAGTCATGCACACAGAAGGAAGCAAAACTCAAGGGAAATCGTGCAGGTGGGAGGGTGGAGGAGGGTATGGGTGAAATCACACCTAATGGGTACAATGTACACTATCTGGGTGATGGCCACACTTATAACTTTGACTCAAGCAGTACAAAAACAATCCATGTAAACAAAACATTTGTACCCCTGTAATATTCTGAAATTTAAAAAATACATAAAAAATAAAATGTCAAAAAGTAAAAATAAAAAATAGCACAATGGGGCTGGTTTACTATGCAAAAAAAACCCACCAAAAACAAATTTTGTGTTTTTAAACATGAATAGGCATTGCAAGGTATAGACTGTATTTTGAAAGTTTTAATATGATAAAAATAGTTTTAATGAACTATTAACCTATTAAAATAGGTATGAACAGTTATCCCTAACATATCTCATGTATGTGAGGATTGGTAGGTTGCACTTTAAATTGGTAAGAATGTTTTGAAATTATTCTTTTTAGAGTTATTACTGATTGTTATACATTCTGTTGGCATTTTTTCCAGAAACTTGCTCTTCTTTATTATGTACAACACCTGAAACTTGTCTTATTTACAAGTAAAGTTATGTCTAGCATTGGCTCTTCCTTCCCCTGTCAATATTGCTATGTTAATATTTTTTAGCTTGCCCGTCTCCGGGCTCCAACACAAATACTTAAACAAAACAGCAATTATGTGAAAAGTGAAAAACGCCTTGCTTATCCTATTTTTCCTTCTTTTTGTATTTACAGATGTCATTCACACTGTAGGGCCAATAGCCAGAGGCCATATTAATAGTTCCCACAAGGAAGACCTTGCAAATTGCTATAAATCATCTCTGAAGCTGGCGAAAGAAAATAACATCCGATCAGTTGTAAGTAGTTTTATGTTCCTGTTTCTTATTCTTTTTTAGCCTTTGTGTTTTGGAAATCAGTGTTGGCAAAAAAAAAGGGGTGGAAAACCATTTCTGAAACTCTAAAAACTAAGGATCTTATTAAGTTATGTAGCCTGTTTGCTTATCACAACTCTACTCTTCGGCATGCCCTAAATATTTGCTAAGTTGTTCATGATGTTTCAGGATTTAAAACTATAGGACCCTGGAACAGGAGCTATCTCATTGACTTTTTTCTGTTCATTTTGCCATTTACTTTCTTTTGCAGAAAGTAAGGATGATGGTAGTGGCCAAGAGCTTTAAAGAAGTTAAATAGCAAGTGCTGAGTTTGTTACAACATTGTGCGTTCGTTTATTATATATTGGTAATATGTTTGTACATGTTTAGAGTTCAGCTTAATCTCTATCTAAAGGTATCTGTGTGGGTTTGTTTTGGCCTGAAAGTTGTTCTTTTAGATTTATTTTACCCTTCCTAAACTATGACTCTGTAGCTGGGTATGCCACATCCCTTCTAAGTTTTATCAGTTTAGATACAAAGAGTTCAGAAAAATGTGGATCTAATCTACTTCCTTCCCAGTAGGCTGGGATGAAAGGAATTTTCTTCAAGTTGGATTTGGAGGTATTTATTCACCTGCTTTTCTTTTGCAACATGCTCCACCTTTATTACATCTCAATTACACCAGGAAAATAAAACTTTGAGAAAAATAGACTGTAAATACCCAATAGGAAGTTAATTTGGCCAGAATCCCTTGGTTTTTGTTTTCATATAGATTATAACCTTGCTGAAATTGTGGGGCAGGAAAATGGTTAAACACTTGACTTCTTAGCAGACTGAACAGATCATCATTGCTTGGAGTTCACAAAAGTGGTGGTTTTATTATTTGCAAGAAGGGAGACTGAGAATCAGACATGTTTAGATAACCCTGGATGGTCACTAAACTTTTCATGCATTATTGCAATTATGAAGTACCTTTTTCAATGCAACATTGGTGAGTTTTCTTGAAATAAGAAAACCTTTTGCAAGCCAATTATACGCCCCTTCTAATCTTTACATAATTGTTAGCAGAGCTGGATATTTCCTTTCACTCTTTGATCTTAAAATTTTTCTGTTTACAAATGGATCAATAAATACATAAAGACCCTATTCTCTTTTAGAGGAGAAAGCTGAAATTCAAAGATAATGAAGCAAAGTAAGCTAGAAAACAAGTTGGTTAATTTTGTTCTCTATAGGAAAATAAGAAAAATCAGAACAGGTGTGCACATTAAGGGAATAATTAAAATTTTGTCAATATGGCTTATCGATTTAAAAAAAGCAAGAGGCTGAAGTGCTTGGAAAATGGATATGTATAGAAGTTTCCAACTTGGGAAATATGGATTTTGAGACCTGCGGAGAATTTGCTAATGAATTCTCTGGCATCTCTAATGATTTGTTTTTAAAAGCCAAGGAAAAATAAGAAAAAGTTCATTAGAAGCAGTATAAAAACAGCACCCATCCTTTTACTAGAGAAAACAATCCCAACTATAATTATCTCAATCATATCTATTGTGTTGTTACTACCATTAGATAATTAGGATGAATTACAGACTAAGTTAACTTTTATCAAATGGCCAACAGATGGGCTGAAGCAATACTCTAGAGTCATTCTGGTATTGGAATTAGATCTACCTTAACATCATTGATGATGATTTTGAAGGCTCAATTACATGTTGCTTGAATAAAATTAGCAGGTGATGCTGAACTGAATTCATTGCAATACTAGTAAATAAAAAGAGATGGAGAATATGCAAAATATGTAAGTGAACTGTCCAACTATTAATCACCATGCTCTTGCATGGTTGACTAGAGTTGCTACCAAATGTCTCTTATTCATAAAAAAAACTAAAAAAACAAATTTTATTTCTTTTCTCCCTCCCTTCCCTTTTCACCCCCCTTCCCCCCTCCCTTTCCTTTCCCTTCCCTCCCCTTCCCTTCTCTTCCTTCTTTTCTTTCTTTTTTGAAGGAGGCAATAGGGCTTTCTACTTCATATTGCATGTCATGTTCTTGACCACCATTAACTAAATAATAATACCAATATCATCAAGTCCTGATTATTTGGGGGGAAATGGAAAATTTTTAGAAACTTGATTAGGACTGGATACACAATTTATAGTATAGGCTTGTACTTTGTTGACTTATCACAATGGGTAGACTTGATTAATATAAAAAGCCTGGTTATTAAGATGGAAAATTAACTTGAGCTCATTTATATAAATGTCAAAAAAATTTCTCATAAACTTTTTTTACCAGAGTAACTTAGTGTTTGCTCTACCAGTTATTACTGTGTGACTATAGTCAAGTAATGGCAATATTTTGTAGCCTTAGTTTCCATATATAAAGAATCAGTAAGTTACAACAGCAATCTCAGATCTATCCAATTCATGAGGCTTTTATGGGGATCCGTTAAGGTAACGAATGTAAGATAACTGGAAGAATGCAATTCTCTATAAAATATTTGGCAATATTACTTCAAGTATAAGATGTTTTCACACTTTGTGATTTGATAGTTTAGGAGATTGATATCATTCTTGCTTTGATACCTATTCTGAACACCAGATCTCTAGACAGTTACCATGTCATATCTAGCTGTCTTTACACTAGCATAAATTATTATAAAGTATTCAGTTTGTATATCATATCATTTAAGCAATTAAAACTTTTACTAATGTTCTCAATAATAATACCCTATTCATAATTAGTAATAATATAATTGTTAACATTACCAATTAATTTCTACATTGACAATAGCACAGAGCTTAGCATAGAGTTTTATTGCTCAGGAGATGCATTGAATTAAATTATATTAATTATATCACTACCTGTATTAAAATCATAGTTTAATTTTTAACTTAAAAATACTTATATTATTATGATTTCCCCCACTGTGATGTTGTGTGGCAGGAAAGCTACAAAAATGAATAATGAGTGAAGAGCTGATGTAGCAGATACTTGTAAGAAAGTAGCTATAACGTAATATGATAAATACAATAATGGGAATGCCTTACTTTATTGGTCCACATCAGCTAGGCTGTCCTGTGGCTACAAACAACCTCAAAATGTTAGTGGCTTGCATTCAGAGACCCTGGCTTATGGATAGCTCATCGTCCTGCATCTGTACCGCCTGGAACTGACAACCTCCTCAGTCATAAAACATAGAATTTGCAAAATCACACATGAACTTCTTACTACCTCAACATAGAAGTGACACGCATCATTTCTTCTCCCATATCATTGGCCAGAACTATTCACATAGCCCTGCCTATCTGCAAGGAGGTCAGGGAAATTGTCCCAGAATAAATTACATATTTGACAGGCACCATTTGTCTGTCAGAGTTAAACCAAGAGCTTTAGGATCATAGCAGAGGAATCCAAGGTAAATGCTTTTATTCTAATTTCATCAAAATAATAGATTCTTCAATTTTTAAACTAGATATAAAACAACTAGTATGATCATTTATTTATTAATAAATACTAATAAGACCTACAATGTACCAATACATTATTATTAGGTATCTTCTAAGACATGGAGGATATAATAGTTACCTTTAAACACAATCTGTCTCAATCTGACCATCCAGACAAATAAATGGACAAGGTCATCATGTCTATTGTATGATTTGCGAGTACTCTGGAGTTCTCTCATCACTTTTAAATATTTTCCCATAGATGTCTGAACTTCCATAATTAATGAGTAATTTATGATGATCAGGCTTTGTTCTTTCTCTGCAGTTTTCCTTTAAAATGCAAATACCCATGAGATCAGTAGATAATTAATTTCCTAATACCTTAATATAAAAAAAATTATCAAATCACTTTGCACTTTGGCAGGATAAATTAGGGAATGATAAAAGTACTGAGCACTTCAACCAGGGGGAGGATGAGAATTGGAAGAAGATCTGAAGGGAGACAGAGAAAAACAGAAAACAGAGTGGGGGATACATAAATTTCACTCACCTCCCAGTTTTGCTAAGAGGGGATTATTTTTAATCAAAAAACAGAGAAATGTTGTAGTCACACATAATTATCTAGAAATAAGGTACTGATTTGGGTGTTGGCTGTGTTATGGATAAATATTTTTACTATGAAAAAATATTATACCTTTTATTAATTTAGAAAGAGAATTTTATTATATTTCCTTCTTTTATCCATACTTTAAGACAGTTTTATTTTCTATACATATCCACATTTTTTTTAGATAGTAAAAGAAAAAATAAGTTAATAAATCTAACGGCTCATTTTACACTATCATTTCTCTTCTATGAATGATTATTTAGTGCAGCCTTATTAGTATGAAGAAATATTTAAATTTAAGATTTTAATAATGATTCTCCTTCTAATCTTATCATAAATAGTTTCAAATGAAAAAAATATGACTAATCTTTCATGCCTCCTGGACATAGTTTGTGCAAGTTCCTTATTCCTTCTAACTTACTCCAAATGAAATTCAGTTATTTTTCGTTAACCATGAATTTCCCTTAGGCAATAAAAGATATGCAAATTGATATTTACATATATCCTTGACAACATTGAGATTATTGATTCCAAGATAGGTAAAATGTAAGGCACCATGGGGAGGATAATTAGAAATAGAATGATTTGAAAATTGGGGTAGGAAAAAAATGTTAAAAGAAAATCAAGGAAGGTGCAGATTACCTCTGTAAAACGTTAGAAAAGATAAAGGTACATGTCAAAAAAAAAAAAAAGACCCAGATCTTAGAACCACAGTTTTCTAATGCATGTGATCAGAGAATAATGAATAGTCAGACTGGTGAAATCCAGCATCTGAATTATTTTGATTTCTAGAACAATAGTGTGTACTAAGAAAATTAAAACACAGTTACTCAGTATTCTTTTGACTGTATAGTATCTAAAACATACAAATGGAAATTATGGATATTGATGAAGATCTTGCTGAAAACTCAGGAGTGAGTGTGAAAGTGAAGGCA